ATCTCCCCAGCACAAAGCAAACTGTTGACCTCAAAATATAACACAATGCCAAGATAGAGACGCTATGTAAGTATAAATTCTGTTCACCAGGAAGACATAAAAGGTCGAATTCACACATGCTTACTGAACATCTCATTTTTTTGAGGACCAGGAATCGGGCTCTTGGCCTTAAGCCTGCCAGGCAGCCACAGTGCTGCTGAGCTACATCCCAGTGTTCACACTTCCTAAAGTAACAACTCGAGGGGAAAAAAACCCAGTCTATACCTACTAGAGCAGCCCAATTTCAAGCCTACTGGAACACATATAGAATGACCTGAAGAACCACATGTCCATTATTAAAATATTAGCAATTACCAATAAAAATACAACAATTCTTAAGAAATTCCAAGACTAGAATTTCCTCTGACTGCAAATAATCAATTTAATCAGTTAAAAAGCAATAAAAAAGAGAACTAGAGAAAGTTTGAAATTTTAGAAGTATACCTAAAAATGACTCAGGATCGAAGAAAACATTTTGATGTGATAGGTAAATGTCTAAAATTGAGAGATTGCAGACTAACACAAGTATAAACTTACAAGGTTGGTGGTGTAACCCAGTGTTAGGTACATGCTCAGCATGCATAAAGCTCCAGGGTCAATCCCAGCACCAGACACACACATGCACACACGCGCATGCACACACACACACACACACACACACACACACAACCAAATAAAACAAAAACAAATGAACAAGACCAAGAAACAATGTATGAGATACTACAAAGTGTACTTTGAAGAAAACACAGCTTTGAGTACTTACAACAGAAAATAACAAAGAAGAGAAATTAATAAAGTGAGAAATTTAAGTGAGGAGAAAGAGCATACCATGAAAATATACCCATGAGGAGATTAAGATTGTAAGCTACGACTTCAAATGGGCTAAGGGGCGGCCAGATAGGTCATAGGATTAAAGCACCTTCTTAGGCAGATGCAGGGTCTGGGGTCTGACCTCAGTGTGCCGTGCCAGCCCCAACCCTGGGACATGCTGAGACAGCAATTGAGACTGGGCGTGGTGGTACGGCCTATAATCCCAGCACTTGGGAAGCTGAAAACAGGAGAATCACTATGAGTCTGATTTGTGTAGTGAGACCCTGTAGATCCTGTACTAAATACATTGAAATAAAAAAAGACAAATGGGCTAACATACATTTAAAAAATTATGCAAGATAGAGCAAAACAATATAAAACAATTAGAGAAAGTCAGAAAGTATGTAAGTATATACACTGATACATGTATGTATATCTTTCTCTTTCTTTCTTTCTTTCTTTCTTTCTTTCTTTCTTTCTTTCTTTCTTTCTTTCCCTCCCTCCCTCCCTCCCTCCCTCCCTCCTCCCTTCCTTCCTTCCTTCCTTCCTTCTTTTTGAGAGAGGGTCTCACTATGTAGTCCAGGCTGGCCTCAAACTCACAATGTTCCTCCTGCCTCAGCCTCCCAAGTGCTGGGATTACAGGAATGCGCCACCACGCCCAGACTCTGGCCAGCTCAGCGTGCCCTGGGGGCGGGGCTGGTGCAGCATGTGGTGTTGGGGATCACAATGAATAAAACCCATAACCTGATAAACGGAATCTTTTTTTTTTAATCTTAATCTATTTATTTATACCAGGAATTGAACTCAGGACATTACACTTGCCAGGTGGGTGCTATGCCGCTGAACTATATCCCCAGTCCCAACTGAATTTTATTAAATTACAACTTTTTTACTTTCAAAAGAGAAAAAAAGGGGTTAGGGATATAGCTCAGGGGGAGTGTGTGTTCAGCTTAAACCTAGGTTCAATCCCTAGCAACAAATGCAAGCAAAGAAAAAAGCCTGAGGAAAGTGAAAAAAATTTCCCTAGTGGGGTGCAGCGGCACACACCTGTCATCTCAGCACTC